GACCTAAGATCATCTGATGTCATTGAGGTCAGTGATGACATCATTGCTCAGCTCTCAGGAAGGACTGTGGGAAAATCACTCTAAGGAGCTTGACATTTTCAATTTGGTTGGTCTGCATTGTTATCTGCTAGTTGTAACACTGGCAGCTTATGGCAATAGTGGAGGCTTTTTTTTTCTTTCAACAAGTGAGGAAGGAGGAACTAATCAGTGAAACCAGTGGCTGCTTCTCTCTTTACTGTGCTGTCTGAGCATGACATAAATGATTGATATACAGTCAGACTGCTGCTAGGGATCCCATGAAACTACAGATCAAGTCAACTGTGTTTAAATCGATCCAAACTAAACGGACAGAAAATACTGGTTTGAGTGTTTTTGGGTCTGTTGCTGCTTTTACTACAAAACAGTGATACCCAACCTATGGACTGAAGACCAGTACTGGGCCGTGGCTCATCTGGTATTTTTTTTTAGTACAGATGGTATTTTATTTTGAAAAATGATCACCTATGTCTGTTCCTCTATAAATCATTTGACTTTTCTAACTGAATCAAAATAAAATTAATATAGTTTTTTTTTTTAAAGTTACAGCTGTACAGTCGCGTGTGCTTGTGAGTTTACAAAGAAGAGTAGTGAAATGATTTACAGCAGAGAGATTGAGAGATCAGGGTTTGAGGATGCGGAAAAAAAACGTTGAAAAAATCCGGGTACAAAATGAATTCAGTGTCAAGCACCGTTTTGTTTATGTGGTGGAATGTTAAAAAATGATGAGGATGACATTAAATGAGACACGAAACATCTGTTGGACACTGGTCAACAGCAACAGCCTTCAATAACATGAAATGGTGAGTCAAAAGGAAAGTGAAAGTTCAAGGGGTTCTTGTCAGTGTGTCTACATCATCATCCTTCAACCGTTCGGGAAAACGAAGCTGGGAGAAATTGAAGCAGGAATAGGAGGAATGTTTTGGTAAATTGTTAGTAGCAAGTAAATTATGAGACGATGCGATAGAAAGTGTCAAAGCAGAGGCTCCTGCTGACAAATAAAAACTAACTAACGAGGCTGCCTCGGAGACTACCACATCAAGGCTAAGTCATTAGCCCACAGGAAGAGTCTAAAGGCAGGGGATGCATATGAGTTTGATTACCAGGTTCTCTCCTGTCTTCAGCACCTCGTCCTAGTGATATAGAGATAGGAAAACACAATACAGATCTGATCCAAAAAAAAACAAAAAAACCCCTCTGTATCTAATAAACAATGCACCGTTTGATGTGTTGGAAATGAAAGAGAAAAGACCCAGAGGGCAAACAGGGTCAAAGTCCCACTGTGCACCTTACTGCTGCAGAGCAGGAAGACTGAATTTCTTTTCATCATTTTTATAGCCCAGTCCGACTTCCTGACTTACCCACACTTGACTCGCGCCCCGTTGACAAGAGCGGCCCACGACACACACGCACACATGAATTGACAGACCTCATGCCGGCCCTGATTGCTATGACACACACGCACACATGAACAGACCTCATGCCGGCCCTGATTGCTACATCTAAGCCTGCCTCCGCTGAGCTTATGGGAGAGGGCAGCCCACTAAACCCACTGACACTGTCACTTTGTCATCCTGTATTAGGAACAGCCTTAAAAACTCACCACCGACGCTGAAGCGGACCTGTATTCCCCGAGCAATAGAGGGCCGGCCAGTGCTGTGACCCACATTTTTGAGACGGGCAAAACTTGAGCGTATTGTTTTAAGAAAAATCGTTATAATAGTTGACACTGTCTTACGAACAGAATGGAACTAAAAAACCAAGGCGATAGGTTTAGATCCCTAAGTAGCAGTTTGGTTTCATGCCAAAACAGCGCACTGCTGTGGCGACCCCTGCAGGGAACAGGAAGATGTATGTAATAAATTAAGACACATCAAAACACAGTGAAGGAAAGTAAAGAGAGCTTTGTGGGAAAATGGAAATGTTCCCATCATTGTGACTGGATGCTGTTCAAAGAGACCTTTCAGTCGATATGTTGTAGGGGAAAAAAAAAAGGTGGTCCAATCACCACGTTGCCGAGTTGCTGAGTTACCTCTTCCGACGCCGCTTGGATTCTCAAACATGTCTGATCACGGCCCAAACAAAGGTCATTCAAATTAAACACGGCTCTGGGTGGTTTTACTAATCTCGTCTTGGTCTTTGGCAGAAAGTGTGAGAACCGGCGATATGAGATGCCGGAATGTTTCACTGCAACGAAAACTCCCTGAGTCATGTTCGGGAGGCACAAAGAAAACCCACGATTTTCCTGGTCACTAATCCTTCTGAATATCCACAGGTTTCCCCTTCACTGTACCTCCTTCACTGACTCTTTACTGGAAGAGTTCAGCTTCTAGTAAAGTAAATACAGTTCCTTATCGTACTGCACACAGTAGTCGCTCTCAATGAGGCGGATATTAATGATATTTATTTGTTTTTTACCAATTTATTATGCATTCACACGCCTGTTTGGGGCTGCATTGTTTGTAGCTTAGATTCTGCACACTTGCTGCACACAATATTTACTGACAGTGCAGGAAAAGGTTTTTGTTTCATGAAGCGCGGTAAAATATCTCAAAATATCATCTCTACGCCCAGCATGCCTTTGCGAGGTAGTCAACCTCCAGTTCGGGTGAGACCAGTCTTCAGGGAAAGTTCTAAAAGAAAGACTTAACATGTTTTACAAGTAATGACAAAATGAATTGTTTCACCTTAAGTTTTGTATAAACTAACAGTCCCTTTTCTATTTTCTTCTAATTCGGTTTTGAGGCATCAGTTAGCGCGTTAAGGCTAAATGCTAAAGGCTAAACGCTAAATGCGTTAAGGAGTGGAAAACAATTTTTTTTTCTTTACTCTCGGTTGCTACCGTCTTCCGCCTTTACCTGTTTCAAAGTCATAGTAGTACTACGAGTCTTATTTTAGACATGTGTGTGAAAAACATACATGACCACTGAACGCGGTAGACACACACACACCCACACACACCCACCGCGAGTCTTATTTTAGACATGTATGTGAAAAACATGACCACCACACACACACACCCACCCACCCGCTAATGAGATCCTGTCACAGAGAACAACTATGCTTGCGTCAGTCTGTTCATTCTGACAGGGTGGGAGTAAACAGGCTTGTCCAGTCAGCTGGAGGAAAGGAATGTGACTGCAACATTGTTATCTCCACTTTATTTGTCGTTGTCATTGTTTTCAGGTAGCGAAGCCGAAGGCGATTGTCAAGTAAAGGGCCGGGACCTGATGTTCCACACACTCGTGTCCGTACCGTCGTCTCAGGTGTGAATGCGACTAGCCTCACTTTCTGAACGGTCACTGTTGGCAATGCTAATGTCTCAGGGGGGGTGGGGGGGGGGGGCAGGGCAAGCCTTCTACTGACTTCGTTCAAGATTCCAAACTCCCTGTCCAAACTTTGTCCGTGCCAACAAATAAGCATTAACTGCCCTGGTTCATCCCTCGTGGACAAATAGCCACAGGAATTTGAGGAATGCTCTGAGAACAATGTTGCTGCTATTGGAAGTCATCAGTGGCTGCTGTATAAACTGCTTTTTAGTGACCACTTGGACCAGAGGTTGTGGGGACTGGGAGACATCTTTACATTGGTCCATGACAATGAAAACAGTTTGGAGTGGTGACCTAGAAAAAAACCACTGTGTTAGGGAGCTCTTTTACGAGAAGTTTATTTATTTTTCTTTCAGTGTTCAATCATTTTAAGCATTCCACGGGGTGCTGGGGGACGGGAGAGGACGCCCTGCATGGTTTGTTGTCCATCACAGGTCCACATACAGAGGCCATTCACACGTCACACAAAGGCCACACCTATAGTCAATTTAGAGTCGTGCTGTCTGCTTTTGGACTGTGGGAAACCATAAAAATTAGAAGAAAACGAAACAAAAAGACTGAGAGAAAACCATCGGTTACTGCTGGGGATCGAACTTATTACAGTAAGGCAAGAGCACTAACCACTCCCCGACCTTTAGGCTCAGCATATTTATGTAGTAAAACATTATTGTTCTCTCAATATTTATACATATATATATATTAATTTATTTATATATGTATAAATATTCAATATTATCATTTCTATTTGTATTATTTTCTGATTCATAAAATAAATAAAAAAAACAAATTTGTACTATATTGATCCCATAATTGGGAAATTATGGTGCGCACGGGTCAAACATACGGTTCATGTTGGAATTGAACCCAGGACTCTTAGCTGGCGAGGTAGTCGTGCTAACCGCTGCACTATAGAACTGACAGATGGAACTGATTTTTCTTTGTTTTTTTCAAAATAACATACCATGCAGGCTAATTTTTTTCAAAATAAATTTGGTCCGGGACCGAATGATCAACGGCTCGTCACTAATAAAATACCATGCAGGCTAATTTTTTTCTTAATCAAATAAATTTGGCCTGGGACCGAATGATCAACGGCTCATCACTGGCCTCCAGCCGGTGATTGGATACACCATCTCTAAACCAGCATTTCTCCAACAGAGGACGATAACATGCTGCTCTGTACTGCAATTTTCTTTGCAGCTTCTCCAAATTTTTGAGTATTGATTTTTTTATATTTGATTTTTTTTTTTTTTACTTTAATTAGAAGACGAAGAAGAAAACCCCAGCCCTGAAGGCATAAACATTGACAAACAGGTGGCATTTAAAGAAAAACAAAGGCCGTGTCTAATGCAGTCTCTTCTAACAGCACATACTGTTTTGTAATCAGGGTGGGGGGAAATAAATCTGACATTGCCTTGTAGTGTTCCCCCCCCCCAAAACAAACAGCACAAACATCTGGCTGTTGGCAAACCTGCATCCAAAACAATAAATGTCATCTGGATGTGGGAAAAAGCAGGGACTTTTAGTGCGCGTCTCACCAAAGAGCTCTTAAAAAGCAAACAGTTCTACAACAGTTGTTATTGACGAACAGTTTGATTTTTTTTTTCTGTTAAAAAAAAAAAGTTCCGCTCTTACCTTTGTGCCTCTCCATTCTTTTCCGCGATGACACTTCAGCCTCCCTTGTCTGTCGCTAATATCCTGCGCACATACAAACAGCACAGCCGCCCCGAGAAAAACAAGAGTTTTAATGATTTCAAAAAAGTTTTGTAAAAGTTTCTAAGTGACGGGACAGCGGTTGGAGCGAAACGCAGCAGCAGCGGCAGCCCTGCGCTGCCTCAATCACTGCCGGACTGAGACAGTGTGAGAGCAGGAACAACAGCGCTCCTCTCTCCTCTTCCTCCTCATCTGCTGCACCTCCTCCTACCAACCACTGAGCAGCAGCAGCAGCAGCAGCAGTAGCACTGTCTTGCTGCTGCTCCCACCTGAGCTGGGGATAGAAAAACAATGTGACAAACATTTACAGAGCAAATGTTAGCTCAAATATCAAACCAATGCATGACACAGAGGTTGAGTGGTTCTGCTCTTGCCTTACAGCAAGAAGGTCATGTGTTTGATCCCACGTGGTAGGGATTTTTCCAGGTACTTAGGTGCCTTTTAGAGTCTACAAAAAAAAAGAAAAAAAGAAAAAAAAAAAAGCCCAACTCTCAGGTCATATTAGGTAAGACTTGTTATCACTAAAGTCACTGTATGGCTCATTGAAAAACCAGATATGGGTCAATACTTTGTAACAGACATCTATGACATCCAATAGGGGCTTGTTGACAGGTGACAGTCAGTTCATATCTGGAACGGGATTGTAGTTTTTGATAGCACACACTCTAAGGTCAGGGCCTCACTTGATATAAAACATATAGGAAACGATCATATGAAAAGCTATCTCTGAAGCTAAAAGCTAAATATGTGTACATATGTATCATGTAAGGAGTCACTGCTGTCATCTTACAACCGTCACTGCCTGGACAACCGTGCACGACTGTGGGAGAGCCACGGAGGAATGGCCGGAATGTCAAACTGTGTTGAGATAATCTCCAGAGAATGAATAAAACACATGACTGATGGACTTATCATGTTACAGTGGGCGCGCACGCGAATGCAGTTGAGTTGAAAAGCATAACCAGAGGGCTGTGGTTTTGGATCGTTAGCTCATATTTAGGGCCTGTATTTAGAATAACGCATCGTGGTCATGCGGTGTTGACTGATCCTCCTGACATTTCGTATAGTCTGCTCTACTTTTCTGAAAGACTATTCATAGTAAACATGGGGGTGGCCTAATAAGGATTACATTTTAATTAGTACAGACACGCACAATGAAGGTTTTTAGATTAACGCTGAACCTTAACCTGTTGAACCTAACTCCCAAAATAGTTTTGGAATCATTTTACTATCCCATTTGGTGTACTCTCTCTCTCGCTCTCCTTTTTTTCTCCATATTAACCCCCACCCCAAACCCTTCTTCTGTCTAACTCTGTGTATGTTTTGTTTTGGGGGAACTTGTGGGAGAGCATGGGCAATAAAATCCACAAATTCCTTTTGGTCTTTTCTCATGTGAACTACAATGTTGTTGATCAAGTAGTTGCTGACACAGATCCGCAAACTGTCCTCTACTTCTGTAGCAACTGCGAAATTGTACTCGGGTCAGTACATGTAATCCAAAATCTAAAAGACTTTCTTCTAAAAAATCATTAATTCACAATGGGAATTAGAATAATTTAAGTGAGAGACAGAAGAGTCTGTTTGCTAGACTACGGAATAACACTGCAGTGCCGAGGACAAGAATCAGCTGAGTTTGCACATCTTTCTCCCAGGCTGTCAATCCCTCAAGCATCCACAGCAAATACTCTGGTATTACTTGTTATATTTTCACTGGAAGACTCATTTAAACACACAATGAGTTGATAAAAGTTAACACTTCTCCGCTGCTTTTTCTCCGTCCAACGTGAATATTTTTAGTGCGAAGCTTAACTCAGCAGCTGCGGTCTTGAGGTATCCACTGTTTCCTAGAAGCATTTGAAAAGGTGACGTGCAAAAACACAGTGTGTCCAACCAAAGGCAAGGCCTCGAAGACTTTGTATCCACGGTTAGCTGAATCGGGTTTTTATTCTGATGACATTTCGGGCTTTTGTAGCTGACGCTGACAGTGTTTGATTTAGCACAGCTGGGCAGCTGCTCTGTTTCTTTAAGCCGTCTGCCTTTGTTGTAAGCACTTTGTGGGCCTTGTGGTTTTATAATGGAATTTAGATCCTCTGATTAATGCTTTCCACAACATACACGTTCTGTTTTTGCATCTCCACCCGACGGTCCTTATCATGTGTTAAGTTGCAGCTTTATGACCCTAGACTGATCTCTAAAAAGCCATATGACCTTGACTAGGGTGACGTGGCCAAAAATGCACTTCTTGCTGAATATTAACTTTTATTGACATGCATTAATTCTGAAAGAATATTTTGCTCATGCACAAATCTTTTTTCAGAACCACTCTTTTGGTACGTCTATAGAGCTCAATTTGAAGGGGTGAGCTGTTTTAAAAGCCAGTGAAAATGTTAATGAGATTAATTTTAACAATTGTTTGGCTTCAAAACTCAAGTGCATCAGACTTCACCTGCCCTTAACCCAGTGTTTTTCAACCTTGAGGTCGTGACCCCACATGGGGTTGTCTGGAATCCATATAAGGTCATCTGAAATGTCAAGTAATTCATAAAAATAAAAAAAAAAACAGATTTTTTTAAACTCATTTTTATTTGTTCTCTGCAGGTCGCCAGAAATCAGTGATGTCAAAATGGGGTCACAAGGCAAAAAAAAAAAAAAAGTTGACAACCACTGGCTTAACCAGTGCAGGTGCAGTCAACGGTAAGGCATCTTTCATCCAGCCTAGAGTGAGTACTGATAGCAGTAATGTTACTCAGACAATATCATGAAAGATCTCTAAGTCTAACACTCCTACTCCGGTGTCCACAACATAAATAACGCATTGTTAATTCAGCAGGGGAATTCCTGGTGTGCAGCAGACCTTTGAAAGTCCCCTGGCTTTGCAAAAGATTTCAGGTCCAGATCAGTCTGTTGTGGGTGGTTTAGGTTCTCAGCGTGTGTTCGCCATTTGTATTGATGTGCAATACAATAGTGTTGCGAGTTGAAAATAGGGTCAGACAGACGTGGTAATTTTATTGGAGTGTGTTTTGAGTCAAAGGTGAGACTGTAGACCAGGCCTTTCTTTGCTTTTTTCCCTGCTGCTTATTAGAGCATAAATAGCATTCCTCTGCTGTGAATCACAGGACAAAGGTCACTGACTCAAATCCACATTAGCACTGGACTCCCTTCAAGTCAGCGGCCTCTCCCTTGTTTGCACACATATGCATCCACAGCACCCTCAGAAAAGAGACCCCCCCCCATTTTTTGGTTGTTATTTTCATCTAATCCGTTCCAAACTGTGCCTCTTCTCTGACTGTTGCGTCTGGGAATTTCCAGTGAATGTGAAATCTACTGACTCTGCTGCACCTCCCTGTTGTTTTAGGAACATTTAGACCAAGAATGCAGAGGGCACTACCTGCCCCACAGACAAACTAGCCTCTTGCAAAGATGATGATGATGATGATGATGCCTCTTTCATATACTCCACCGATGCATGAGCACCTGACTAAACAGGCTCTCCTGCAGCGTAGGTAGCAGAGTGTCATGTTGGGGCTCAGTGATATTGTTTTTGGTTCATGTGAGCTCACGCTCACAGTAACCTCTGTGGATCTTCAAATTTCACACAGTGTGCAGATGACTCATGCGAAGGCTGAGAAAATGTTGCACAGGATACTGGGTTGTGTTTTCAGAACAGAATACAGAAAATAAATCATTAGTTGTTCAGGTTAGAAGAATGCATGCATCTCTTGAATAAGATTACCAGCATTACCAGATTACATATCTACCTGTAATACTTATACTACTACTACTACTAATAATAATAATAATAGCCATGTGTCCATCCATCATTTCTACTACTATAAAAATGTGTAACCATTTATAATATAAACTGAAAGATAATTATATATAAATATAAACATGCTGGTTAGCATGGTACAGATGGACAAATGACCAAAACGTATACAGCTACAGTACATTACAGAGTTATTTGCTGCTGCTTTTCTTTCATATCTAATAATGTATATGTATGACTGAACCTCTGCAAGTAACCCAATGCCTCATTGTTGCACAACGCCGCCATCTACTGGTGAAGAAGTCAAAGTGAGGACAGTTCCGCACATGAAAATTTAACTTAACGCACATTGAATTTCAGTCACTGTTTAAGTGGATAGCTATGTTGAAATAATAACTAGATGTAAAATATTTGTCACTGTCTTTTTTTATTTTGTAATTTAGTTTTAGCAGTTTGTTAGTTTAATTTATGAAATGCCGCAGAGAGCAATTTGTGTCAGTTTTTTTACACTGTCCCTTTAAAGATTGTTTTGCTACGCGCACGCGCAGTCAGTGTTTAGTTTTCCCTAATCTGAGGAAACTGTCTGGGTCTCCTCGCTGGGCAAATCCACCGCTGACACTTTTTCTCATGTTTTAGCGCAGAAACTACTTTTTAAAAAATATTTATTTCATCGCTGGGATATAAGAAGACACCACCGCAACCTCTCGTCAACAAGGTCTGTGGTTAAGCAGCTCAAATCGCCGTGGAGGAACCCTCAACACTTCAAAGTGGTTGCTCAATGCCCCCCCCCGGTCAGCAGGCATAGCCTTCAGTTCCCACATCTCACCACATCCATGTTGACTGCGGCAGCCCCAGCGCTGGCTTCAGCTGGGCTACAGCCCGCACGGTCTCTTTGTTTCTCGGCGGAAAAGAGTCACCGCTCCTGCTTAAGGGGCTCGTGTCCGGAACATACATCCCCGCTCCAGCTTGATGGATTGTTTACGCGATAAAATGGCTGCTCAAATGGATTTTAGAGAATGCTGTTGAATAAGCGCAGCAACGTCACATTAGCCAGCAGATGCCAGGCAGCGGAGAGGCCAGAGCTCCACAGAGTAAATAAACAAACACTATAATGTACTGGCTCCTGTAAGTGTTCACGGCAGGTTTCAGTTGCTTGGATAGCTTTAATAGATGGTTCGCAGCTTTTTCGTTAGGTTCTTCCAGCAAGAGGTGGGGTGAAGGGAATTCCTCCCACTTTAAATCTATGCATGCGGTAAACCACGCAGCTTTTGAAGACACTGCGTTTTATTATTAGCCATCATTCTTCAAAGCTTTGTGATGAGGCTTATCAGAGACTCTATGTGAGTATGCAGACCCCTGAAGGAATATGCAGGACTTCTTTGTTATAATCTGAACAGCCTGAGAAGTCCAGTATTCTCCCGGAGCAGACCTTAAAGGCCCCGGTGTCTCCCTCGGCTTGGCGAAGAGACCTGTGGGCTAAACATGGATCCTGGAGGGAAATGTGAGAGACAACTCTTTCCGTTTGGACCCAAAGAAGGATCCTACCGCGAACTGCGGGGAATCAGCAGATACCTGGTGATGTACATCTTGTTTTACTTTGTGCTCCTCACGCACGCCTCTCCGGCGAAAGTGTGTGAGAAGAACTGCCTCGCTGGAAAATGCATAAACGGATCCTGTCTCTGTGACCGAGGATGGGTTGGAGACCAGTGCCAGCACTGCCAAGGGAGGTTCAAGTGAGTAGACATCCTCCGAAATCTCCTTCACTACACTCGGGCAGCTAGACGTGAGGAAAACAATGCAGCGTGCAATGACGATGTTAAATATTGACACTACTGACGATTGACAGCACTAAACCAACACGGGTGTGTGACGTGTAGATGTTAAACAGAAGCAGACAGTGATAACGTTAAGTATTTACAATCTGAAACCTCAACTGAGTCCAATTAAAAAAACAAACCATCATTAGGCATTCCATAAAACTGATTCATAGGGGATCATTGGTAAACATCACCCTACCAGAAACTTTCCACAGTTCCACGTAAGTGTATACAGATACCAAAATAAAATAAAATCTCCACATTGGTTATGCATATAAGCGTGTACCAACTGTATTCTATTTTACTAGAATTTTGTTTTGATTCATACCTGCACCACATTCAGAGGCAGTGGTACTTAGTGGTTAAGGTTCGAGTCCACCAGCTGCCAAATTGCCACTGGGGTGCTCTGAGCTTCTCACACTGCCCCCCGGGCACCTAAAGCTGCCCACTGTCACTTTGGTGATGGGTTAAAAGTGTGTGTGCAGTGGTGTGCTGTGTCACAATGACAAATAATTCACTTTCACTTTCGCAGTCTAAAAAAGATGGTCGAGTTGGACGTGGACTTCTAGATCACACCCCCTTTTCTTCACATTTAACCTTTTATTTATGATTGTAAGGGGTCCCACTTGATTGGTGACTTCTTCTGTATTAAAGACTTGAGCTAATGAACGTCCTCTCCTTTGTAATGCAAGTGGAAATTCTCAACAGGCAGCTGTTCTGTAGGCAGGAACCAGTTACAAAAACCACCCTTTTGTAATTGGTGACAGAAAATTTAAATAGAGCTCTTAGCATCAGTGAAAACGTAAAAAAAAAAGAAGATTACTCACATTTTAATAGGAGCTGTGTCCATTATTATATGATGATTTTTGTCTCTAATGTCTTTTATTTAAAGGAAAATGATCTCTTGGGGCCACAGCGGCGTGGTTGTTGACACCGTATTTGTGTATAACATGTGTGTATAAAGCTTTTCTTCAAGTGCTCCACAAGATGTAACTATGAATGTGTTTTTGTCTATGTGGTACATTCATAGCCCTGAGGTCCATTTATGGTTTACACCCCTTTTGCTCCATGACTGGATCCAAGTCCCTGCATAATCTTTAACACGGTTAAGTGGTGTTAGATGAGTGAGTAGGCCCATTATCCAACCATCTTAAACACAAAGTTGTTAGTCGTGACCAACGTAAATAAACATTTTGGTCTCGGTGGAGGTGCGTCAGAACTTGCTCTACCGCTTAGTCTTTGGACTGTACACATTACCTGTTAATCACCTGTTAACGGTTGGCCAAAAACTGACGCATCCATACAAGTTCAGTTTCACTTCTTTGAGGTGTGCTACGGTAATCCTTTACGGTCTTTAGACGTTTGTTCCTGAAATTTTGACCAGTATCGGACGGATACCGTTCCTGTGTATCGGATATATAAATGATATGAATGATTTTCTACTCACATAATAGAAAGTCTGAACAGTAGTGTTTTCAATCTACGTCAACTTCAGTGCATGTGCTTTTTTTCAGCTGCCCCTCTTGGCTCTCCTGTACACCTGAGGAGCACTTTGTGGTGCTGAGGTGCTGTGATCACAGTAATTACACTTGCTCCTGATGTGTCTGAGGTTTTCCACAGGGTGTCATTAGCCATGTTGTCAGGGAACTAACCCTCTATCACCTACAGATATTCTAATCAAATGGGAGACTCTAACTCTTGGTCTCTCTGAGACATCCGAACAGGTTAATGTACCATCGGCAACAGATACGCTGCTGCTTGTGAATGAAGTCAAGTTCTGGAAGAAAAACTTTTTCACCAAGCACCTACAGCACAATCTGCAACGTAGGAGAGTCTGGGTACGCTTTGACGTACAAGGGATAGAATTTCCCCCCCGCTAAGTCTTAAGCACGGCATGAAATATTCATCATTATCGTATGTGTGTAGTCGTGTTTGTGTGCCGGTGTGCTCACCGTTTAAACCGAGTTCATTCCGCTGTCGGCCTTTATTGCATTATGCTTATGAAAATTCACCGCTTTTCATCTGCATATCTTAAATCTGTAGCAATTGTTCCTCGATAGAACATAAATCCGGTGCTCCTGGAGCTCATCTCCTATAATTCATGCTGTTGCAATTGGAGTAGTAAACAGGGAACGGGACAATGCATGTGAAAATGTTTTATGGCGCACGTCAAGAAAGACTAAACATCATCATTTGCTGGCTATTGTCATTGATTACAGCCCATTTTAAGCCCATTATAGTGTCAGAACCACAGAGCTGTAAACACTCTGTGTCAAGTTAATCATCTAAAACAAGTGTCATAAAGGAGGACGGAGTTCAGTTTGTGACCTCCATGTTTGGTCCCAGTCTGTTATTATCTGCCGACCAATAGTCACTGCGTGGATTCATGGGTTATTTGTCACAGCTTGGACTTCCAAATGTGTTTTTAACCGCAAACAAGTTGTTGCCAATCCGAAGCTGCATCCTCCTAATAAGCATTTGTTTAAAAAGTGACATGTCTCCTGGTGTTTTTATTAGTAGGTTCTCAGTGTGATTGAACAGCTCAGTGGGTGGGCTGTGTCAGCTCTAGTTTATTGTGTTATGGGGCTAGGGCATATGTGTTATACTCAAGGCCCGGGGGTCAAATGCGGCCCTTGTGTTATGGGGCTAGGGCATACGTGTCATACTCAGTTTTTTTTAATTACACAGCAGTGAACAGTATTTGTAGCTTGAATAAATCATAATCAATTGCAGATACATGTATTAATCTGTTATGGAGGAGCTACATCTATACCAGACTCTATTCTGTTTGTATCAAAGTCTGAATGACTTTTATTTTAAAATATTGCCAGATGGAAAATTTTTTTTTGAATGTAGCAAATTACAATTTTTCATTTTCACTGTATCCCACTGCGGGCTGATACCAAAGGACCTATGGACTGGTACTGGTTCGCGAACCGAGGGTTGGGGACCCCTGATCTATACAGTGTCAGTACAGTGACCAACATTGTACCGACCCTTAGTTAACACGTGTGACCTTGAGGTGTCTGCCAACATGTTGCTTTTAATCCTAAATGTATGCAAATGATTGTCTTGTGCATCACTCTGATTCCTATCCTCATTTCCTGAGACAGTAGACGCGATGCAGATAAGGGTCAAGATAAAAAAGAAGGGATCATTTAAAATGTAATAAAGCTGGCTGAGTGGAGCACCTTGCTCAGCTGTTTCACGCAAAGATGACACCGTCTGTGAAACCCGAGGCCTCTTCTCATCTCTTCTAATACTTAGTTGTCAAATAAATGTCAGATAAAACTGACCTCATCACTCAGAGTCTACTGACTTTAATGTATTTCTATTGTCTGTCCACCTTAAATGCTTTGAATCATGTACGGCATTTAAAAGAAAATTTAAAAAAAGCATTTGTCAACACTGACTGTTTCAGATTGACATTTAGTTTCTTGGAGATGATTCCAGAGCATACTGAATGAATTGCAACAGTTGGGTGAATTATCTATGGACATGGACGTTTTCCACTTTTATGGCTGTAATGTGAAACACTTTTATTTCCTTTTATTACAGATGAGTTTCACACAGGGCTGGGAGCAAAGTTAAATGAATTAAGACGACAAAACACAATCATAAAATGTCTTTCTACTTCAGGCGGTTATTTTCCCATCGCCCTTTTTTTGAGTGCTTAAAACTGTCTGAAACACCAGAAGCCATTAGAGTTATGAGCTCCACGGTCTCCGTTTGTGTGAATTATGATTTTTTTTTTAAATGAAATGTTTTATTACTACATACTACTACTGTAAACATGTCTGACCTGGACAGCCCCCTGCAGTATTTTTCATAGTTTAACTATAAAGTAATTCATGTCCTGACATACTTATATATGATATTCTGTAACGTGAAAACCGGCTTTATATTCTCTGATTTTTGGCCTTTGTTGAAGTGTTGTCCTGATGTTGTTTTGTTTGTTTTTTCTGTTTCTTTCAGGTTGATGGAGCCCTCAGGATACCTCACTGATGGTCCGATCAACTATAAATTCAAAACAAAATGCACGTGGCTCATTGAGGCCAAGTGAGTACTTTTGTGGAATGCAACGCCGCTTCACTGACGTAGTGAAGTTAATATACGTCACCTATACTCGATAATCGACTTCTGTGTCAGACTATGAAATGTTTGTTGGTCCATCAGTGTGTAGTACACTCTGGATGTCTGATAAATTGCAGTTGAATGTGGCAGAAAAAAAAACCCACTGGAGTTGCTGACACCTTTAATTGCCATGGCAACATTGGTAACGGTGAGGGCAGAAACTTTATCAGGTTAAAAGTGGAAGGATGTCTGGGTTTCTTGAAGCCTCAGTAACAAGAAAAAGCTCAAGGCAGTACACTGCAGTATACAGAGCCACATGACGTATCTTATACAGTCTCTTAAGGGCTGTGAAACAGCAGAAAGTGCATGATAGTCACACGTGAGTATTTGTGCAGTAATCTGTCTATGAACCCTCTAACATTTGTGTCTTGTTGTTTCTCCCCCACCCACTCTTCAGTCCAAATTCAGTTCTTCGGTTAAGATTTAACCACTTTGCTACAGAATGCAGTTGGGACCATATGTATGTCTACGACGGTGATTCAATCTACGCTCCTCTGGTTGCTGTTTTCAGGTGAGCAAACGATGTTGTTCGTTTTCACTTTTGAAGATTGTAGTTATTTTTGTCGTGAGAATTTGCTACAAGTAATGTCAACTTCTGCCTTTCTGTGGACACAGTGGTCTCATCGTGCCGGAGGTGCGAGGAAACGAGACCGTTCCTGAGGTGGAGACGACTTCGGGCTACGCACTACTACACTTTTTCAGTGATGCTGCCTATAACTTGACAGGATTTGAAATCTTTTATTCGTAAGTATCTACGGTACATTTGTCAAACTCGAGGCCTGTGGGCTGAATCCAGCTCACTTTATGTAGTCAACCAGAGCTTTATATGTGTAAGGCTGTCTTATGATAAAATGGTTTAGTACAGAGTGTATAACAACGTTTACTGGATTGGTTTATTGTAATGGTGAGTAAGTCACAATTTAAAGTTTGCTTATTCCATTACTGATATAATATAAGCTAATATACTAGAGTCTAGTATATAGGGGTGTCAAACTCATTTTCACCGGGGGGCCACATCAGCAATACAGTTCCACTTGAAGTATCGGTTGTAATTGGTAGACTGTATAGATTAGGGGTCCCCAACGCCCGGTCCGTGGACCATAACCTCCTATGAAAAAATGGCATATGTTATGTCTGCCACCATCTAGTGGAATTAACTGAAATTACAACCAATACGTTGCAATGAATGACACAGAAGGAATTAAATCAGCCTGTATCTTTGGTAGGCCAGATTAGAAAGCCCAGCGGGTCGTTTCTGGCCCACGAGCTGTAGTTTTGCTATGCCTGCCCTAGACTGAATTCATTCATAAATGTCTATTCTTAGACTGTGTTTTACCTTGAGTGATTCAGTTTGACACCCCTGCTCTAGGGCATATCATATTGAAACCTCGGTTAATACAGGACATTAAGGATGTGTCTATTTCAGTCGTCAGTTTTTTTAAACTTGTGACAGCAAATGACTATAACAGAAGCCCTATCACAACAACTCAGTGGCTCAGTGACTGCTCATCCATTGTCAATCCTGAATCCCTCTGACTCCTGCCAAGAACATGTCCCTGCGCCACCATGCAACATGGAGCAAAACAGTGCAGTTCATTGTTTGGTGAATAAAACCGCCTTTCTCTCCAGGATCAACTCTTGCCCTAATAACTGCTCTGGCCATGGAAAGTGCACCCCAGGGAACTCAGTCGCCAGCAGAGTTTACTGTGAATGTGACAAGTACTGGAAGGGCGAGGCCTGTGACATCCCCTACTGCAGAAACAACTGCGGAAGCCCCGACCACGGCTACTGCGACCTCACTGGGGAAAAGCTGTGTGTCTGCAACGACAGCTGGCAAGGTACGAGCTGGCTGTGGCCAGATGAAGAAGTTGATAAGAAAGTATACGAGTCAGAAAATTCCAACAGGGATAACGGACAGGGACGTGTTAAGACATGTCTCTCCGGCGACATCATTGGGCTGTGTTGGCTTTTTATTGAAAATTGAACATTTTGAAATCATAGCAAACATTATCTTTGTAACCAAAATTAAGTAAAACAAACTTTACAACAGGTTTTCACCCAGCCATATTTGATTTAAACATTGTAAAGGGACCGTATCAGTCCTCTGACAGGGGCCAAAAAACAGGTCGTAATCTGGGGTGAAAGAATTTCCTTCGATATCTACAAAGAAGAACATCTCCTTTTTTGGAAACACCAATGGAATCCTTAGCAGCAGTGGTTTTTTTTCTCTTTTTTTTCTTTTCTTTTTTTTCTCACTTTTTAAACTGACTCCTCTTAATCTTAACTATGGTGTTCGTCAAAACTCACAGGCTCTCCTATTAAATGATTTCAGGGAGTTTCTTTCTTCCAACATTCTTCTACAAAAACACTGACCATGTTTTGTTTTTCTTTTTCAACTTATGTGCATACCTTTGGAGATGAGGTCATTTATAGCGTTGTAAAATCAGTAAAACTATCCTGCAAGAGTCTAAAAAAAAGTGGGTGTCCAGCCAGAATGACCTAACACATGTGGTTTTTATTTATAAACAATTCCATATGCACCACCTGACAGTATTGAATAAATCAGCGGATCCAAGTGAAGAATTGGTCTCTTCACCACCTCAAGATGTCGGGTAATTCTGGGCAGGGAAACCGCTTTATTTAGACATTGATCAGTTAGAGTCTAGACTGTTTGAAGGTTCCAGGTTCAATACCACACACTCCCAAAATCCCAGGTTGAGTTAGAAGGGCAACTGCGCCAAATCACATTTTAGAGCCTGAAGAAAACACTGCACTACACCATCATTACATTTATAGTGTGATATTTTGGGCTTTTAATCGGTTAAAATGATTATAATTAATAACGGCATGAGTTAATGCCATAATGTTAGTTTCCACTTTCATCTAAATCTAACTTTTAATCAGATTGTTAAAAAACCTTTTTTTTAATTTGTCTATTAAAGGTGTGTAGTTTTAGTGCTTTATTACAACTACGATAAGTGTAACTCAGTTGTAAAAGATAATTTCGGTCGATGTTCATTTAACATCTGCTGTTGATAACTCAGTTGTAAAAGATCATTTCGGTCGATGTTCATTTAACATCTGTTATCATGTTCTACTTCAAATGGTGAATCATCCAAGAGGCTGCGGCTCTGTTTTGTAACCACGGCATGTTAAAAGGTCACCACCCTTTCCTTGTGTCGTGTTGCATTATTTGGAGGCGCGTCATGTGGAATTAGTCAGCAGACATCTGTGAACAGCTGTGAAGTACTGTGTCGCAGCGCAGGGCGTTACCACGTTGATAAAGTCCCCGCGGCATTCACCTTATTATGAGCCTCCGGCTGCTTCGGCCTGGTGGAACTTGACAGAATCACCAAGCCCTCCGTCAGGCGGTTGTACACACCCCCCTCCCTGCTGTGCTAAGTTAGGGAGGGGTGTGTGTTTTTTTTTTTTTTTGGTTCAAGAGCAGCCCATTTGTGCTTCGCTGTTTCAGCAGCGAATACCTACATAATGTTACATAATGAATACCTCAGATTTGACCATGAAGGCGTAGTTCAGAGCCGATCTAATATTGTGTTTATCCTTTTTTTGCAAGGTCCATTGTTGCTCCCTGAAAAAGGGGAAGCTCCTTTTTGGCGTGTTCCTTTTAAACACTGACACCGAACATCCTGATCTGCAGTTTTTAAATTTAGATCTGTTGTTTTTGCAAATATAGTGAGGATTAGATACTGTACTGCGCCCGCTCTTCATAAATGTATATTTCTTCAGTAGCTCCTCTCAGCTCGTTTCCTGTCTTTTTTCCAGGTCCAGACTGCTCTCTTACTGTACCATCAACCGAGTCCTTCTGGGTCCTGCCAAGCGTCAAACCCTTTGGCACGTCACTCGCCCGGGCATCCCATAAGGCTGTGGTGCAGGAAAAGGTTATGTGGGTTGTGGGTGGATATACCTTCAACTACAGCTCGTTCCAGATGATTCTCAAGTAAGGAAAAGTTCTCAATGTAATCCTTTATCATATTTTGTACCTTAATTAGAAAAAACAACAATTAAAATAGTGTGTTTTGTTTCGTTGATAACACGCCCTTATACATCATGGTGGCTACACAGCGTGATGGAGGCCGCAAAAAATAATTTATTATTGATTTTCTTTCTTTTTTTAAAATCACGTTTTATTATCAGGACTCACTGTTTTAAGCTGCTTTTGTCAGATGAACACGGCTAGACGCAATAACTTCAGCAAGCGTAATCTCACTCTCACCGAAATTGCCTGGGGATATTGACACATTGTATTGATTCGAAACGGCGTTTAGTACGTGCAGTGGAACAGACGGAGTGAGTTGCCTCTGTTGTTCTCAGTGTGCATCTGTACAACTGGACATTTTTCTACCTAACATATAACACATTTTTAAAGGAATGACCCTTTAAAATTCTTCTCACTATAAAATGGGAGATAAACTAAGGCTTTTTTTAATGTGGTGTGTTTAACAGAAAATTGCTAAATTTGTATTTTCTACGGTCGTGCGGTTCGTGGAGTAATTCATGTCATCATACAAGGCTTCGAGCTGAAGACTATTCTCCTCGTCTGTTGCTTGGACAAGCTTTTTCCATCTGTTCAGTGTTTGCTCTTCACTCGGTGCTCTCACTACTGTGGAAAATTCACCCTGGGCTCAAAAAGCATCTGGTGTTAACATGCCGTCCTGTTTGACGCCGTGTTTTTTTTTTTTTTTTTTTACCACCAATGCCTAAAATCTCATATGTTATCTGCTTAGCATAGCAATCGGGGCCAGATCTCAGAACCCAGCTGCCTCCGGGATAAACCACAGCGTAAAGTGTTATATTTTATGAATGAAGACTAAATGATATCGACATATATTACTCATCTGTGCTAGGTTTATTATCTCATAATTAGATTCATTCAAAAAATGATTTGTTTGAAGTCACAGGGAGTCGAGCTAAAGTAGTTATGATTTACAGTGGGTAATGGTGTTGATGCTTTCTTTCTGCAGCTACAACCTGGAGAGTGGAATCTGGAACACTGTCCCCATCAATACTAGCCCTGTGCCAAGATATGGTCATTCAATCGCTGCCTACCAGGTAAACAGGACTGTTGGAAAAAAATGTATCTGTCAGTCTATCTGCTTATCTATCTATCAATCTGTCCATCTGTCAATCTGTCCATCTGTCCGTCCATCCATCTATCCATCCATCTATCCATCCATCCATCCATCCATCCATCCATCTACCTCTCTACCATCTATCCATCTATCTATCTGTCTGTCCATCCGTCCATCTGTCCATCCATCTATCCATCCCTCCATCCATCCCTCCATCCATCCATCCATCCATCCATCTATCTATCCATCCATCCACATAATAATAACAGCCCATACACACCTTTGTTTCCCATTCTTAAAATTTGAGTAACACATTTTTACTGACATCTAATCACTGGTCAGATGAAGGGGGTTTCACAGACTGGAAGTGGCCCTCAAGCCCAGAGAGTGTTTCTCCTAAATCCCCTAAACTTGTGTAACAACGTGTAGTTAAATTCCATAACATTAAATGTCTCACAAATCAAACATCTGAAATCTACAGTAGGGTTTTTTGGACCACATTAGAGTGTTCTGTAGTCCAGACATTCCCACGGACTCTTGATCAGAGATCAAACCAAGTGTTCACACCAGTTAACTTCTGACATTCCTTGGCAACGGTTTTACTGCTCCCTGTGGTAGCTTTTTGATAACACATGAGTGAAGCTCATGTGGGAAGGAAGAAAAGAGAAAAATCCTGATTTATCCACGGTCGGGTTTTGAGCTAGTGTCGTGACTGCTGCGTGTCAAAGTCGAGCGGAAGGACCTTGAAATGAATCCTGAGCGTGGCAGATAGCCAGGGCACTGATGCTGCTGCTTTATTGGTGTAATTTGTGTGTTGTGCTTCACCAGCTGCGAACAAGATACTGAGGTTGACAAGGTAAAATCTAGTCCAGTAAAAACTAGACACTTTATTCACTTATGTCAGGGGCCTATATATTTTCACTATGGGGTCACACTAGATTTTTTTAATCCTATAAATACTGTACAATACAACAGTGCAAATGAGTATCATTAATCAATCAACAAAACAATTGAAAAAGTAGTGAAAACAAAAAATTGAGCGCAAAGTTGAATCATTATTGACATTGACATGAGTTTGAGATCTGATTTATATCATAAAAAATTGAAATATGTTGGGTTTGGCTACACTTAACTTAAACTGTATCTTTTTATAATTATTGCTCTTTAAATATTGCTGTAAAAATAAAGGAGGAAGGTTTCTGACTGATACTTTCTTCTTGTTAAATTGGTTGACATTGAACCTCAGTGGAATATTAATAAGAATTAATTATTAATTAATAGGAATAATTAATAATTATGAATTAATAAGAACATAATTCAAAGTTGCATTTTAATACTAAACCTAAACTACTAAACCATTCAACATCCTTATTTCATAATATTTTGAATGACATCCCCAGCCTGTCCCTACGCTTGGGTTTCGCGGTTCTATTCCGTTACCCACTGAAACCCGTCTGTCCTCTTCATTTAAGGATGACATCTACATGTTTGGTGGGAAGCTGGAGGCCAACGGGGGGAATGTGACCGACGAACTGTGGGTGTTCAACATACCAGGTCGGACGTGGCAGCGGAAAATCCCTGTGGTCGGCCCACCGGGCCAGACTCAGATTTATGCTGTGGAGGGTCACTCAGCCCACTGCATCTTGCTGGAGGGTGGCGAGGCCATCATGCTGGTCATCTTTGGCTACTCACCCATTTACAGCTACATCAGCAACGTTCAGGAGTATAACCTAAGTAAGTCTCGGCTTTGATCAAGAGCCATTTTTTTTCCATCCTTTTCAGCCTACAAAGTGTTGTTGTTTTTCAATTTCAAAGAAAACAATGGTGTTTTTTTCCATTCAGGATCCAACACTTGGGTGATACCAGAGACCAGAGGCGCCATTCCCCAAGGAGGTTATGGCCACAGCAGCACGTATGACACCTCTACTGGCAGCGTGTATGTCCATGGCGGCTACAAGGCTCTGCCTGCCAACAAGTACGGCCTAGTGGACGACCTCTACCGCTATGACGTCGATACCAGGACATGGTAAATCAAAACACCAACACAGGCTACATGTAAAAGTACTGCCTTATTCTCCACGTAATCCGGTCTGCGTATGTGATGGTGAACGTCGCGTCTTTCTTGTAAGCGTATCCTTGAATCGTTGGTCATGCGTATGTTCCAGGTTCATCCTGAGAGAGAGCGGGTTTCCACGGTACCTGCACTCGGCCGTGCTTCTCAGCGGCACGCTTCTCATCTTCGGCGGCAACACGCACAACGACACGTCACTCAGCAACGGAGCCAAGTGTTTCTCCGCTGACTTCCTCAGCTACGACATTGGTAGGAGACGTTTCCGATTCAGTCAGTGGAAATAATTAACCTCGCAAAGTGGAGTGAACTTTTTACTTTTGGGTGACATTTCTAAAGTATGACATTTTAATGATTTTAAAAGCTACTTTCAGGGAAGCTTGTCTGCTCTGGTTAATTTTTTTTTTTTAGGTTTAACAATTTTTAAGCACATTTTTAAGTGTTTTGTCATCCACTCATTTTTCATATTCACTTTCTACGAATATTACTAAAACTCTACCTTCTTAAAATGCAAAAAAAAAAGGTTAGAATGTTCCAGTTCCAAATTAAATTATATTTCAATTTTGTTTTTCTCCCTTTTGCCTTCAAAAGGTTCAACTTAATGTTCAGATAATTTAATAAAAAACATTTTATTTTACAATATGTGAAGACTTTCATGTTAAAATGCGGGTTTATGAAGTAACTCCTGTTTTTTTTTTTTTTGTTTTTTTTGTTTTTTTTACTGCAGCCTGTGATGAGTGGAAGCGTCTGCCTCGACCGGACCTGCATAGAGATGTCAACCGCTTCGGTCACTCTGCTGTGGTCAGCAATGGGTGAGTTGATTTGATCAAAACACACTATGTGTATACAAAGGCATTATAGTCATGTATATTTTACTTTAAAATAGCATACTTTATGTTGATGAATTTTGAATTGGGTTTATTAACTCTTTGGGGAAATAAAATAATAATAATAAAAATGTATACATAATATCTCACCTTCTCCACTGTTCCTCACCAGGTCCATGTACGTCTTTGGGGGCTTCTCTGGTGTGCTGGTTAATGATGTGCTTGTGTACCGGCCTCCCAGCTGTCAGGCTTTCTTGGCAGAGGAAGCTTGTGTGACGGCCGGGCCAGGGGTCCGCTGTGTCTGGAGCAGAGGTCGCTGCCTCCCCTGGGAACCAATCACAGCCAATGGAAGCATCACCCATGCCTCATTTTGCCCCCCTAAACCTGGTTAGAAAGGCAGATTTTTTTTTTACATTTAAATACCAGTTGTAATGTAATATTTCAAGCTCTGTGAATAAAGAATTAATGCAATCTCTGTCTTCCAGTCACGGTGGATGAGCGCTGCTACCGCTTCTCAGACTGTGCCAGCTGTACAGCCAACACCAACGTGTGCCAGTGGTGTGACGACAAAAAGTGCATCTCCGCCTTCAGTAACTGTACATCTGTAAGTCGGCCAACAGGGGGCACTGTTGCACTTCTGCTCTGCTTTTGACCTTCCTGGATCTCTCACGGAGACACTCTTGTGGCGATAGTGCAGTGATTGTTTTGAATTGTAATAATGTCCTAATGAATAAGGAGCACTCTGCTTTACGGTGCCCATTGATTAGACCGCACGCAAGTGTGACCCCCGTTCACTTTGATGACGCGCCGCCTTCTGTCCTCTGTCCCTTCTGCTCTTGTTGCAGAGCGTGAAGAACTTCACTAATTGTCCAGTGCGTAATGAGCAGGTGTGTAGCAAGCTGGCCAATTGCAAGAGCTGCTCGCTGAATCCCATCTGTCAGTGGGATCAGAGCCAGTCCGAGTGCCACGCGTTACCAGGTAGGAAGTAAAGAAACACACACACACACAGGCACATTTGCCTCTCGTATCTGCAGTCTGTTTACAGATACACCAGCTCACTTAACTTTTTTTTAACTCTTTTTTGATCATATGTTGTTACAGTTACATTTTTCAAAATACTCCATACAAATACTTTAGTGTAAAAATGGCAATAAAATATTGTTAATCCAAGTTTTCGTAGACTACATATTATCTAAGAATAGAAGTTGTTATGACAGGCGGACCACGTTGGATCTGGTACTGTGTTTACACCTCTTTTAATCTTAAACTTCACTGAAAACTTTAACACTTCATTGCTAACATACTGGCTGTCAGGCTCATAACAGCTAATTTATTGCTAGGCAGTATTTAGAAGTGAAGAAGAAAACTTGTCAAAATGTGCTCGGCAGGATATTACTTGTATTTGTTTTTTTTTTGCATCCACTACATGGCCTTCTGTTGAAAGATTTTAAAAATGTTTTAGGTTTAGTGCTCTACCCATTTTTTTTTCCCTCTCGCCTGTCAAGGTTCCTTCCGCCGTAAAGACTGGAGGACAGCGAACTTATGGTTGCTGTGTTCTTAAATAACACCACACTATCTGTCTTCCAGCCCAGCAGTGCAGCGAGGGTTGGAGCCAAGTGGGGGAGGCTTGCCTGAGGATTAACTCCAGCCGGGAGAGTTATGACAACGCGCAGCACTACTGCAAGAACCTGAATGGAAACATCGCCTCGCTCACCACATCCAAACAGGTGGACTTCGTACTGGAGGAATTAAAGAAGCTCCAGCAACAAGACAAGGTCAGTTTACAAGTGTGTTAATGTGTTTCTCACACGTCCAACCTCCCACATCTTAGCTTCTGAGCTGTTTACTTACACTCGCTCTCTCCGGGTTGAGTCAACCCAGCGTGTTTCTGTTCGAGGATGGTGATGATGCAATCGCAAGTAGATGGCATTACCAGGCTTCATCTTGACTTGTTTCTGTGAAATGTTCTACCCACGGACTCTGACTGTTACATTCACACCACCCTGCGGTGTGTTCTGACCGTAGTAATGTTTTGTCAGTCACAGCTCTGTCAGTCTTCCACATGTAGAGTCATACATCAAGGCCAGATGACTCACTGTCTGTAGAAACTGTCATGAAGACAGACGATGTTTGAAGTCCAGTTTTTATATATTTTTTTTTTATTTGTGAAGCCCACAGATATGTGAACAAACTCGGTGTTCAGTCAACGTTTGGCATTTGAACAGACTCGAGTATTGACCGTCTTTGACTCCCAATCATCCACTCAGCAGAAATAAAACTATGAACAGTGCATACAATTTTTTAATCAATTAAATATGATTCGTTCTCATTGACTGCAACACAATTGTTTGAGCCTTGTTTTATCGTGAGAAGAAGAAAATGAAATACACTTTTTTTTTTTTGACAAATCTTCCTTTCCTTTTTTCCTCTAGAGTTTAAAAAACTGTCTGAGTCTTGTGGTGATTTCAGCTTGGTCATACTGCTGCTTTTTAAAAGATTTCATTAAATGTCTGTCGGCTCAGTTAAAATACTGCTTGATTTTTTTTTTTTTTCCTCCTGACAGGCTGCCATTTCCCATCATTTCTTCTTGCGTTAAAAGTTGGATCCTGGAGGCAAATGAATAATCTTTGCTGTGAATTTTATTTCAGTCAACTTTTAATGGCATGCTGGGTTCCTAGTTGTTATGCGGTATCAGCTTATGTCTTTACGGCGTGACTGAAGCAAAAAGAAAGGAAATATTCACACATTTTCTTCCTTTTTTTTTGTTTAATCCTCACAGAGGTTTCATCAAACTTTTTTTTTTTTTTGTGGCTGAAGCTTTGACTGTGTCTCCACAGCGGCTGTCTCCCTGGGTGGGCCTCAGGAAGATCAATGTGTCGTACTGGGGTTGGGAGGACATGACCCCCTTTACCAACAGCAGCCTACGCTGGCTGCCTGGTGAGCCAAGCGACTCTGGTTTCTGTGCATACCTGGAGGAACCGCAAGTGTCGGGTCTGAGAGCCAACCCGTGCACCGCAAATGCCCATGGTCTCATCTGTGAAAAGGCTACAGGTGAGTCTACTCTATGATGGTGTCTGACTGAGTGTGTCATCGATTTAGTATGAAATTAGGAATTTTAGCATTTTCAGCTGAAGGATGTTTTTGACAAGACGAGGGAAAAAAAAAGTATATTAAAACAATGAGTAAAGAAATATACTGTAGGAAGCGAAGCATATTGACGTTAACACAGCATATAATATATATGTAAAGGAAGCGAAGCATATTGACATTAACACAGCATATAATATATATGTAAATATATTTGTATATATTTAACAAAATTGTGTGAACATTGCCGGTATAGAGGTTTCTCCCTTGGAAAAAAAAAAACCCAAAAACCTTTGGATCAAATGTATTGAAATTACATCAGTGAGGTTTCCGTTTTCTCTGTCTCTGTTTTCTCATATTTCCTTTTTTTGTTCTAAGTTAACAAGACATCTTTACCATGAGAAATAAGACCCAGTAGGTGGCAGTAAAACATTTCACAATATTCAGCATTGCCAAGCCTTGGTGAAGAATGGCTTGCTGTAATAAACTAAAAACACACACACAAAAATCACTTTTTATTAGACTTGGAATAACAATATTTATTTACTCATCTTTTTCCTCAAAAATGCTGAAGACAATGATTTGCATTTTTAAAATAATAAAAACATTTTTTAATTAGATTAACTCATCACCCTGAATCAAAGGTATCAAACTCCCGGCTCATGTCCCACTGTTGGCTGACATTTGTCCTGTCATTAAATGTCAGTAGTGTTTTGATGTTTCTAGCTTCATAGCTAAAAAAATAGAAATATCTAAATATTAAACACTGATGTGGCCCTCATCTCTGAATTTTCCTTTTGTTTTGAGTTTCCATGTTAGACAATTACCATTAAAAAAAACAATTTAAAAACAATTTTTGTACTAGCACACTGGACTAATGGATTGGAGCTCTAACCTGCGTACTTAGCACCACCTGCAGGCAAGGGAGAAAGATTTACAATACACAATTCCATGATAATGAAAGTCTTTATTATTTAACATCACCCAGTCTGTTGTTGTGTTATTTTCCCTTATTTTTTCCCACTTTTTTCCCCCTGTTTAGGAAATCCCAACCAGAGCAACCGACTGTCCTGCAAGAAGCCCTGCGCTCTGCACACCACGTGCGCCAACTGCACCAGCCCGACCATGGAGTGCATGTGGTGTGGCAGTGCCCAGCGCTGCGTGGACTCCTCTGCCTATGTCATCTCCTTCCCCTACGGCCAGTGTCTGGAGTGGCAGACTGTTGATTGTGTGGGTAAGTGTCCTTTACTGAACATAATCAAGATTAGTTCTCGCCCCAAATCTGTAGTCTGCCATTAAATTGGTCGGCATTAAGCTGCTGCCGTGGGCAATCAATATTTATCACTGGGAGAAAAGAGAAGGTTCAGGGTGGAAAACGGCTTAAAGTGGAAGCTTTTTATGTCCGAGGGAGAAAGGTATTAGTTTTCCATGATTGCCTTTAGAAGCTGTTTTTGCTTAGCAATGGCCAATTACTCTCACATACAGTTGGCCCAACTGTTAGATTTCCCCGTTGACCTAGCCACAGATGGACTCTTTACCATTAGCTGGAGTTAAGTACTTGACAGTTGTGCATCACGGAGCAGTTTCAGAGAGGTGCTCCTCACATATCAAATTGAAAGACGGGCATTACCGGTATTTACTCCTCACGTACGATGCGCTAAAATACGTCTGTTAATGTGTAGGTTTTCATGACATCATGACTCAAATCAAAACAGCTCTCGGGTAAAGTTTGGCTCCCGTTAGAAGTGAATAAATGTTTTGATGTGCGCGGAATTAAATGTAAAATATCCTTGTGTATTTGAGGATTTTAGCTTTTAGGATCCATTCAATTATCCATTAGGGATAATGGATCCATTAGGGTTTCTCAAAGTCTGTACTAGGGTCCGCATCCAAACTGGTAACTGAGCCTATAAAGTGTAAAAAAAATTCCTTAGTAAGTTCATAAAAGTAATTATGTTGCCGATCCCTAAACCTAAATAATAAGATTTGGACTTTTGTAGGG